ACTGGAGGTAAAAATTACAGTTTATTTTTTCAACATGCATATGTTGTTTTCCAGCATAATTGAATTATGTTAGTGAATTAAAAACAAAAACAAAATCACACAACTATATATTTGTAGAACTAATTGTAATCTTTTAGTATTACTGTAACCAATATACCTATTCCATACCAACCCCACACTGTTTGGCTTATTGTACCGTTATAGTAAGTCTTGAGAGTACATAGTGTGAGTCATCTACTTTTAGTTTGCTTTTTCAAAACTGGGTTGGCTATTCCAAGTCCTTTGTATTTTCATATAAATTTTCAAAGCATCTTGTTAATTTCTACAAAAGCTGGCTGAGATTTTTGACTTGAATTGTATGGGAACTATAGATCAATTTGGAGTGGCTGGAGTTATAAAAGATTAAGTCTTTCAAATCATGACTGTGGTTTATTGTTCTACTTATTTAAAGCATCTTTAATTTCTTTCAGCATTGTTTTGTAGTTTTTATTGTACAAATCTAGAACATCAATTGTGAAATCTATCCCTATGTGTTTCACATTTTTGAATAATATTTCAAATGACATTTTAAAAAATTTAAATTTCATTCCTTATTAATCTACAGATATATTAATCTTTATAAATTTAATTATTTATTCTAATACCTTTTTGTACATTCTTTAGAATTTACTATGTACATGTTTATTTCTGTAAAAATACTATTTTCTAATATGTATATCTTGTATTTTTTGTTACATTTACTAATAAGTATAAATTCAAAATATATGCTTATTTTGTTTTTATTTTGTCTTGACCTCTAGTTTTAATGTTAACCAGAAGTGGTAAAAGTGCACATCCTTGCCTTTTTCCACAATTATAGGAGAAATTGTTCATCCTTCCACTATTAAGTGAGATGTTGCATATAGAATTTCTCAGATACTTTTTATTTAATTTACATGGTTACCTCTTTAAAAAATATATCTTTATTGATTTCATAGAGGAATGGAGAGGGGGAGAGAGATAGAAACATCAATGATGAGAGAGAATCATTGATTGGCTGGCTGCCTCCTGCACACCCCACACTGGTGATTGATCCTGCAACCCAGGCATGTGCCCTGACCAGGAATCAAACTGTGAACTCCGGGGCTCCTCGATGGATTGCTCCAAAGAGGTAGGCCAGAGCCGGGGAGGCCTGCGGACCTCCACGTGCCTGCAGATCCCCAGGCCGGGCCCATGGCGGAGGAGCCTCTCTGAGCACCTGTGAACCCCCAGTGCAGGCACGCAGAGAGGCCTCTCTGCCGCGCCCCACCCCCGTCCCGTGCTGCAAGTCCCTGCCCACCTGCGCCTGCTGCACACGCAGCCTGCTGATCAGTCATTACTGTGACAACGTCCCTACCAATTTGCACATTACCCTATTATTAGTATAGCTATACATATAATATATTAGCTGTATTACAATTGCTAATATATTTTTGCTAAGAATTTTTAAAATCAATGTTAAATGATTATTCATTAAATGAAATGGCAAATATTCCCTTCTAATTCCTAAGAGATTGTGGAGTATTATTTCTTCTTTACACATTTGATGGAATTCTCCACTGAAGCTATGTGGGCCTGGCATTTTCTTTGTGGAAAGACTTTTAGTTGTTTTCATATTTAATTTCTTTAATATTTTCAACAATATTCATATTTCCTAATTTTTGTAGAATAAGTTTTTAGCAATCAGTGCCATTCAAGGAATTGCTCCTTTTTATCTAAATATCAAACTTATTGGTATGACATTGTTCATATGGTGTTCTCTCGCAATCATCTTAATGTTCTGTTGTGATGGGCCTTTTTTCATTTATGAAATGTCTAATTTTCATGTTCTCCTTTATTAGCTCAATCACTCTACTGAGAAGGTCTTCTGTTTTACTGATCTTTTCAAAGAACCAGCTTTTTGTTTGATTTTTCTCTATTGCTTGCAGTGTTCTATTTTGTGCTGTTATTTTTACTTTCCTCCTGGTTAATTTCTAATTTGAAATCCTAGTCTGCAATGTGATGATGTGGGGAAGTGAGACCGTTAGGAGGAGGTTAGGCATGAAGGTGAGCCTCTATGAGTGGGATCTGTGTCCTTATAAAGGGGACCCTGGAGAGCTCTTTTACCTTCTTTCCACCTTGTGAAGGTACGATGGCAAATATGTAACCAGAAGAGAGCTCTCACCAGAACCTGGCCATGCTGCCACCCTGACTTCAGAGATTCAGCCTCCAGAACGATGAGCAATAAATTTATTTTGTTTATAAGCCATCCAGTCTGGCTACCTTGCTATAGCAACCCAAGTGTAATAAAACTCTTATCAGTTTGAGGATGAGATTAAAGATTGTGAGAATGGTGGAAGAATAATATTTCTGAAACACCAAAGGAGAATTTGATAGAGCTCACAGAAAGGCTTTATTTTTAGAAATGGGGCAATATTAGCCCTTCAGTGAGGGCTACACCGGTTCCCACCTATTAAAGCTTTAAAAAATCACAAAAGAAAAACTGTTTCCAAGTAACTTAACTGTGCCTCAGAATAAAGTTTAAGTATACTTATGGAACACAAAAATATCTCCAGCATTCAACAAAGTCAAACGCCCATTCTGGGATCCAATAAAAAATTACCAGCCTTCCAACAGTGCAGGGAAGTATTACTCAATATGAAGACATTTTTGTGTGTGCGAGGATTGGTGGTAGCAGACTACCTTGGGGCAGGCAATAAAGTGTGCATTATCTTTAATGAATTTAAAAATAAGAATGAAATGGACTGAACATTGTTGCTATTTATTAGCACTAGGGGCTAGGGATTCTACACAAAGACAGTGAATAAATATTCCTTCTCTCTGAGTGGGCTATTTCTATCAGCCAACCCTCTTGTTATGCCACTGACCCTCCCACTAGAATATGATCTCATAAAGGTACTAAATCTTACTTATCTTTGTATATGAACTCTCAATGCAGCAAATGGTAAATGATACTCAGCAGCTATTTGTTGAATGTTGGTAAGCTGGATTTTTCTCCTGTGTACTCATGTAAAGAAAGCCTCAAGAATTTAAAAATCCTAAATCTAGAAATTCGTGACATCAAACATAGGCTGAATAATACTGAGGGAAAGATTGAAAACCTCAGTAATTGACTGACTCTACTTATTTCTCTAATAAGGCACCAGTAGAAGGCAGTCATACATAAAGATTTTAAATTACACCAAATGAAGATGATTATTGGTAAGGCAGACAGATAAAAAGAAATGCACTGAATTGATATAAAATTGTCTTTGAAATAATTTCATGGCTATTTTGAAAGTCTAATGTAATATAAATATAATTTTCCATTTCAATAATCTTGAATATAGAAGTGATAGTTATAACTGTGAGCACAGAGATTTTAATTTATTTCAACAAGAAACAAGAAAGCCTTGCACAATATTTTTCATACCATTTTTATTTATTTGGAGGCTATATTACCATATCATTTAATGTTAAAAATTTCAAGAAAACAGTAGAGTATAATATTAAAAATGTAATTGCCACATTTCTTCAAGTCAGTGATCAAATATAGAATGACTCTTTTAATAATTAACTCACAACTTTTGTCCTTAAATAAGTTATACTTTACATGACTGCAAATATAATTATATCCTTAAGTTTAAACTCATGGCTCAGTGGAAAGAGAGATAACTTCAGAGTTAGGAGATCTGAATTCCAGTATGATTGTGTGAATTTGGGCCCATGTATTAACCTCCTTGAGCCAAAATTTTTCACTCTGTATAAAAGGGATAATAAAAGTTTCTCTATCCACAAAATACTGTGTCTATTAAGATATTGTATGTCAGAGAACTCTATAAAGTACTATTTGTTAAATATATCTTTATTGTTGAAAGTATTACAAATGTTCCCCTTTCTTTCCCCATTGACCCCCTCCAATCTACACCCCCTCACCAGGTCTTCACCCTACTATTGTCTGTGTCCATGGACTATGCATATCCTATATAATAAAAGCCTAATATGCTGTGTCTGATCTTCCGGTCAGCCATTCAACCAATCAAAGAATAATATGCTAATGATATGCTAAGGCCACTCAACTGCTTGTTATGACATGCACTGACCACCAGGGAGCAGAAAGTTGACCGGTCGACCAGTCCCTATGATGTGCACTGATCACCAGGGGGATATGCTCTGACTGGTAGGTGAGCTTGCTGCTGGGTTCCAGCCAATTGGGACTGAGTAAGATGGGCTGGACATGCCCTGAAACCCTCCCGTAGCCCCTCCATGGCTGGCCAAACTTCCATTTCCCTCCTTGGCTCCGATAGTGCACCGCTGGAGTCCCTCGGCCTGGCCTACATCCTCTTGCAATCTGGGACCCCTTGGGGGATTTTGGAGAGCAGGTTTGGGCCCGATCCCGCAGGCCAGGCCGAGAGACCCCACTGGTGCACGAATTTGTGCACCAGGCCTATAATATGCTTATAAGTTCCCTGGTTGATCTCTCTCCACCCCCCATGCCCAGCCCCACCATCTCTCTGAGATTTGACAGACTGTTCCATACTTCTATGTCTCTGGATCTATTTTGTTCATCAGTTTATTTTATTCATTAGATTCCACATATGAGTGAGATCATGTGATATTTATCTTTCTCTGACTGGCATATTTTGCTTAGCATAATACTCTCCAGATCCCTCCATGCTGTCCTAAAGAGTAAGAGATCCATCTTCTTTAAAGCTGCATAGTATTCCATAGTGTAAAAGTAGTGGTTAAACAAGTTAACATTAGTTTTGTGTATATTATCTAATGCATGACAAAATTAAAATAGACTGAAATATTTGTTCAAGAATTCCTGCCTTAGAAGTTAGCATTATATTTTATACTAAACATACATCTTGGACACACTGAGGTATATTGAAAGAATAAATATTTATGTTTGATATTGAGGCACTCACTGAATAAGGTAAAAATAAATTACAATGATTGATCAATAATTGTGGTATGATAGCAATTAATCAACCTCTGGGTCACTGCTTAATTAGAAAGCATAGTCTTCTAAAAATGATCTCAAAAACCTCAGCAACACATAATACCATGGTAATTACAGTAAATGTGTACATTGCAATGAGAAAGATGGTCTTCTCAAAGTGATCTGGCACCATGCATTTTATAATAGTAAACTTCCCCCCCAGAGATCCAGCATCACACAGGTAGAGAGGCGTTACTTGGAAACCAAAGAGGTGAATCTGAAGCCAAAATGATATCACCTCTAGACTGATTCTTACTAAAACAGAGACGATATAAACCACAGTGTAGATGGGCTTTTGAAGAATGCATTCTTGACTGATGCTTTTAAATGCAGCATAAAGATGGAAAGTAGCACCAGGAACCAAGACAATCACTAATTGTAGTGCCCAAAATACCTAAAATATGTCAGAAATATCTTAGTCAAATCAATCAACATATAACCAAAATACACTTTAAAAATTCATTGATTATCAAGAGTGGTTAACTTAAGAATTCCAAGTTTCATAAGTCTTATAAGCAATAAAAATAATATAATGAAGGTAGTAATGAAGAACATATCTCTTTTAATTAATAAATTAAATTGTGAAAATGTAGTCATATTATACTATCATCACCTACCAATCCTCTATATATATAAAAGCCTTTGCTACTGTTTGGTAGCTATGACGCACACTGACCATCAGGGGGCAGATGCTCAATGCACAGGCATGGAAACATGGAACAGACTGATGAATCTTAGAGGGAAGGAGGGGAGGGTGGGAAAAGATTAACCAAAGATCTTCTATGCATACTAGAGGCCCAGTGGATGGATTCATGCATTGGTGGGGTTCCTCAGCCTGGCCTATGGAGATTGGGCTGAATCTGTGCACTGGACCGCTAACATCCCCTGAGGGGTCCTGGGTTGCAAGAGGGCACAGGCCAGGCCGAGGGATCCCACTGGTGCACAAATCTGTGCACCAGGCCTTTAGTATCTAATAAAAGAGAAACATGGTAATTGGCGTACGACTGCTACCCTTCCCATTGGCTAATCAGGGGCAATATGCAAATTAACTGCCAGCCAAGATAGCAGCCAGCAGCCAGGTAGCTTAAACTGAACATGAGGCTTGCTTGCTTCAGTGATGGAGGACTGCAACGTTCCCCGCGTGCCTTGCCAACCTCTGAGCCTGTAGTTTAAGAAACATAGTAACAAATATAGAAGCTAAACAAAACCCCAGAAACCTGCTTTCAGCGAGCGTGGGATCTCAGAGCTGGAGTTGATACAGAGTTTCGATTATAGAACCGAAACAAACCAGATACCTGCTTTCAGCAGCCTCAGAGCTAAAGCTGGCCCAGAATAAAAAAGAAAAAAGAAAAAAAGGAGCAGTTGGGAGCTTCAGTCCCAGACTGAAAATAGCCCTCAGCTCCTTACCCAGACTGGCCAGGCACCCCAGTGGGGACCCCCACCCTGAAGGGTGTGTGACCAGCTGCAAACAGCCATCATCCCCTCATCCAGGCTGGCCAGGCACCCCAGTGGGGACCCCCACCCTGAAGGGTGTGTGACCAGCTGCAAACAGCCAGCATCCCCTCACCCAGGATGGCCAGGCACCCCAGTGGAAACCCCCACCCTGATCCAGGACACCCTTCAGGGCAAACCAGCCAGCCCCACCCATGCACCAGGCCTCTATTCTATATAGTAAAAGGGTAATATGCCTCCTGGCACCGGGATCAGCGTGACAGGGGGCAGCGCCCAAACCCCTTGATCGCCCTGCGGCTCTGTGTGTGACAGGGGGCGGGGTCACAACCTCCCTATCCGCCCTGCTCTGTTCGTGACAGGGGAAGGCGCCCCAACCTCCTGATCAGCCCTGCTCTGTGCCTGATATGGGGGAGCTCCCCAACCCCCTGATTGTCTTGCGGCTCTGTGTGTGACAGGGTGCAGTGCCACAATACCCCCCCCGCCCCCCTCACGGACCCTGCTCTGTGTGTGACAGGGTAGAGCCATAACCTCCCCATCGGCCCTGTCCTGAGTGTGAGAGTGACGAAGCCCCAACCCCCAATCAGCCCTGTTCTGTGGGTGATAGAGGGCGGCGCCCCAACCCACCCCCCCCCCCATGGGCCCTGCTCTGTGTGTGATGGGGTAGAGCCATAACCTCCCCATCGGCCCTGCCCTGAGTGTGAGAATGGCGGCGCCCCAACCCCCTGATCGGCCCTGCTCTGTGGGTGATAGAGGGTGGCACCCCAACCCCCTGATCCGCCCTGCTCTGTGTGTGACAGGCGGCGGTGCCCCAACTTCCCTATCGGCCCTACTCTGTGAGTGACAGGGGGGAGCTCCCCAACCCCCTGATGGGCCCTGCTCTGTGAGTGACAGGGGGGCACTCCCCAACCCCCTGATCGACCCGACCCTGCTCTGCTCTGTGCGTGACAGGGGGGAGCTCCCCAACCCCCCTGATGGGCACTGCTGTGTGCGTGACAGGCGGGGAGCTCCCCAACCCCCTGATTGACCCTGCTCTGTGCATGACAGGGTAAGGAGCCCCAACCCCGCTGATGGGCCCTGCTCTGTGCGTGACAGGGGGCAGTGCCCCAACCCCCCTGATTGGCCCTGCTCTGTGCGTGACAGGGGGTGGCGCCGCAACCTCCCCATCGACCCTGCCTTGAGTGTGACAGGGGGCGGTGCCCCAACCCCCCAATCAGCCCTACCCTGAGCGTGACTGAGGGTGGCATCGCAACCTCCCGATCCGCCCTGCTCTGTGCATGACAGGGGGCGGTGCCCCAACTCCCCAATAGGCCCTGCTTTGAGCCCGACCAGGGGCTGCACCTAGGGATTGGGCCTGCCTTCTGCCACCCGGGAGCAGGCCTAAGCCAGCAGGTCATTATCTCCTAAGGGGTCCCAGACTGCGAGAGGGCACAGGCCGGGCTGAAGGACCCCCCTCCCCCCCGAGTGCACAAATTTTTGTGCACCGGGCCTCTAGTTATCTAATATTGTTGAAATACTTTATTTTAGTAGCTATTTAATTTCCATTTTCTAATTACAGGCCTGGAGTATAATTTTAACATCAGTAGATAATAAAATGTTGGAAGAAACTCTCAATCAACTCAAATTAATTTACCTGAAATAAACAACTGGTTAAAAAGAGTAATAATTCTAGAAATTATACCTATTAAGGTATTTTTAATTTCATTATGGCATTAATTTATATTTAAAAGGAAACAATTTTATCTGGTGTAGAGTAAGGCTTATGGGCACACAGAAAAACTTACTTGTGGAGTGATTGGCCTGAACTGATTGTAACAGAAGAGGTTTATTTCTCTCCTGTCTGGATCACAGCTGAAGTGCAAAGCCTCATTCCCATAGACTGCAAAGCCTAACACCCCAAGAAAGAACATTCGGATGGATCCAAAGAAAAGGGTGTGGAATTGACCAATCACAGTTGGAGGCTTCACCTATTATAGTTTTAGGAGAAAAAAAAATCTTTTGAAAACAAACATTAAAGGAGGACATTTTAAAGGCTTTTATTCATTGTCACATTTTTAAAAATTTAAGATTCATAAAGTTTTGAGGCAAGAAAGAACCTTAAAGATTATCAAGCCCAATGCAAATCCTGTATTATGAGATTTCACCCCTTTTCACTCTGAAAATATGAAGGGCAACAGTGACATGTTACTAATCAAATGTATAATTTTGGAAATACTTAAGAAGCTTAACATTCAATTAATATCCCAAATCCTTTTGTAATAAAATCAAGAAAATGTTAGAATATCTAGGACCTCTTTTGGAAAAGTAAATAACAAATCTAATAATAAACTCATACACTAACTTAACAACCAAATAATGTTTATGTCGTTTTCATTACAGTCTATTTCCTACTACTTTATTGAATTGCAAGACAGTGAGCTACTTTAAACACCAACAGCTAAAAGTACTTCCTCAAATATCCTAATTATAGTTTTAAATTCAGAATATTTTGAAGTATATGGTTAACCTTTATATTACTCTCCATATATGTAGAGGAACTTATTATTCATTGACAAAAGAATCGTGTTAAAATACACAGACTGGACTAATACATTTTTTAAAATTTGTATAATACTTACACATCCTTCATAGAAGTTTTTGATGTAATTTAGAGACATGTCTCAGGAGATGTTATCCTCGCATCCCTGTAGGTTAATTCTTGACCCACATTGCCAAGTTTGCTTCTGCCAGAGTCAAACTCATGTTGTGTCAAGACTTTTACAGCAGAAATCTCTTATCACTGCACATTTCTTTCCCCTCCTCCTTCTTTTCTGTGTGTTTTTTTTTTTTACCCCCAGTCAAATTTCCTATCTCTGTCCCAAAACAAAGAAACAACAGCATAGGGCATGTGGTCAATCTAATAATAATGCCTTGATTTACACTGTCAGCACAGCCAGCCAGACGGGACTGCCAGCAAAGCAGTAAGCCAGACTGACAAGGGCCCCAAGCATTCAATGCTTCTCAATTACCTGGGAATTGCTCAAATGTAAATCAGCAAACTGTGGCTTATAATTTTCTAAAAAATATATCATGATCTAGTATTATTTTGGCTTTCATTTATATGTGTCTGAACAAATAAGTACAAGGAAATATTCTTGATTCATTCTTGTTTTCTTCCATGGAATAGACCTAATTTCTGGGAAGTTTAAGAAATTATAATATAAGTTATGATAGTTATTACTTCATTAACTATTACTGATATATTGCTATATTTTTCTTTTGGCTAAATGCTTACCACAGATATGGGAAAATCTGAAGTTAGAGCTCTGTTCTAAGGAAAAAGATAGGGTACTGCTAACTAGGATGAGACCAGGATCTAGCAGAAATCATGTGAATAATTCCCCTTCTTTTGCCTTTCAGTAGATATACATCATCTGCTAGACGTTGTTACGGGTGCTGATGGTCAGCAGGGACCAATATAGATAAGCAGTTGCCTTCGGATCGATATATCTGATTAGTATCTTCCATCTACCCAGAATGTCATGCAGCCAATGGTGGGTCAAATCTGCTTTCTTCACCTGCCTCTCTCATCTTTGTTTTGTTTGTGATCTGCAAAAGTTGTGACTACAGAAAACTTCGTTGCTCTCTTCACCAAGTGGAAAAATGACTACATAACACATGTAACTGTCACCAACGGGCAAGGGACAGAGGCCTTGTTGAATCAGTGTTGTCTTGGATAGAAAAAATAAATAAAAAAGAACAACATAATGATCTTTCAGAGCTGTTGGATAAGCAGTTTGAGTATTTCTCCTCTTCTCAGAAACAGAATTATAAGTTTGTTATGTGTTGATGTCTTCAAGGGGTTCCCAAAAGTCACAACAAACATTTGCATGGAAGGAATTCTGTTGGATTTCTACCATTGTACAGTAATGAATTTTTTTGTTTAGACAAATATATACCAGTGTCAGACATGTAAAAACCATCAGTCTTCCTGTGTTCTTTCAGAGATAAACCATATAAACCTGAACCATAATTGCATGTGTAGAAGAGAAAAATGCAGCATCATTTTCATTGTTGGTAACTGTGAAGGACCAAGTAAATAATATCAGTCTTACTATTATAGAGCATTATCCAACTGAGTTGTAAAACAGAGGGATATGGCAGATATCACCTGATTATACTCTTATTACCATGAAGATTAGGTTGGAGGAGAGACATGGCTTGTCTCTTTGGGAAAGTGTCATTCTTAGATGCCATGCACACCTGGTCAGTGCCATATCATGGCTTCCTTTGCTTCATGGAATGCCTCCCTGACTGTAAGATTTATGCATGAAAAGAGCAGAACAGAACTGAAGACACTTGTGGACAACTTGTTCCTAAGGGGAAAGTGCTGCAAAATAAATGACGCATGCCCAGTTTTACCTTCCAGATGTAAAGTTAACTCACCATAGAAGATAGCAATTAATAGTGAAGCTGGCTTCACATGTATGGCAATTGGTAGGGCTGTTAATTAGGATAATAACCTTAGCTTCTTTACATGTGAACAGCTGCAGGGTCTAAAAGTAGAAAAATAGGGCAACTCTAATGTGCAGGCATTACTTAATCCTTTGCTTGCTTCATGTCTGCTATTACATTAGGCAAAGCAAGGTAGTGCCAACTCAGATTTAAGAAATAGCTTCTGCCTTTTATACAGTCACATTGCTTCAGGGATTGTAGCTAATTTTATATTTTACCACAGTGTGCCCTCTGATCACATATATTCATATCACTCCCACATGTCTTCACCCTCATCCCTGGATGTCAAAACTCTCATCTAATTACAGCATTAGGATTGAAGTCCAGGATTTTGTGATTTGTATCACGTTCAAATCTGGATATGACTCAGGTGTGGCTCTTTATCCAGAATCTAATAAAACAAAAGGAAAAGTTATCTTCCACACAAGATCAATGTATGATGGTGAAAGAGGGCTAGGATGACTTCAATAGACACTTTCTCTCCAAAAATGGAAGAGCGGGAGGCACGCTGCTATCACAAGTTTATAATAATTCTGAAATCTTTTGGGGACGATATTGCTAGTTCTTCCTTCTCTGGAGGGAGGGGAGTGTTCCATGAATGAGGCACAGTACTATTCCCTGAGAGCTGCTCTCTAGTCTACGGTACTCCAGTAGAGCAGGTGGGGTAAGAATAAAAACAAGCTAATCTGTAAATGCATTATGTTTATTAAATGGCCTGCATTGCTAACTAGTGTTTTAAACAAATTATCTCCCTGAATTCTTACAACTCCATGAAGTATACACTCTTACAGGTCTATTTTGCAGACAAAGTTTAGAGGGTTTAAGTAATATATTCAAACTTACAATTAGTAAGCGGCAAGACCAGGTAGTGACAGATAGTGACTGAGTTGCGTGTTGTTAACTGGTAGGCTACAGGGCACAAGAGAATATTGTTAGTTTGATTTATGGAGCCTTAAAACATGGGGAGTTAGGGAGAAATAAGCTCAGACTTTCTTCTGTGAAGAGCTTAGGGGATTATTGGGGTATATAGCATCTGGAAAGGGCTGCAGAGCTTGGCCCTTTGCCCATGCTCCTGGCCAGATCTCATGTGAAAAGGAAAGGCCAAACAGAGAACTAACTAAATATCCTATGTGCCAGGGTGCCGGGGTCCAACCCCAGCGGGTCCAGTGGTCCCCAAAGGTGTGGACGGAGTCGGCGAAGAAGGAATGACACGGATACAGCATTCAGTTGATCAGCAGCCTAGCCAGGATCTCTAGCCAGGATCTCCAGCCAAGTTCTGGTCTGGATCTCCAGAGAGGTTCTGCTTAGGATCTCCAGCTAGGTTCTGTGTCCATGTTCTCTTGCTAGGTTCTCCAGCCAGGTTCTGTAGCCATGTTCCCTCGCTAGGTTCTCCAGCCAGGTTCAGTCACCAGGTTCTAGTCAGGTTCTCTTGCCAATTTCTGTAGTCAGGTTCAGTCCAGGATCTTTTGCCATGTTCTCTCCAGCGAAGTTCTTCTGTCTGTAGGTTCTGGTTCTAAGCTCTGTATTCTAAGTTCTGTGTTCTAAGTTCTGTCTCTCTTGGTTCCGTATTCTAAGTTCTGTCTCTTGCTGTCTTATTACATCTGTATTTATACCAGTTGACTCAATCCTATCAATCTCTATTACAAAGGTTAGGGCGTTTCTTATCTCCATTCCAGGGAGTAAAGATTATGTAGCTTAAGCATGATTGTTTGTAGTTAAAGTGATTAATTACCCACCTGGCACTAGTTAAGAGGTTTTATTCCCTCCCTAACTTCAGGGGAAAATCCCTACCTGGGGAAACAACCTTTCTCAGAGACCTTGTTAAAACACATAGTGCCAAGAAGGTGAGCAAACATATTAAGAACAGTATGCCATATATGCCAGGTCCCTTGAAACAGCAAGCATGGACCGGCTCCCGGCAAATTCCCCCTTTTTTATTTTTTAAAAGCAGGCATTAAAAAGAAAAACCCCAAATGCTCTCTTGTATCCATTTTAAGAGTAGGATTGGCGCTTTCCGCTATTACCTGAGTCCTGATCTATCACCCCAGGGAGAGCTTGCCAATCCTGCACTTTCCCGGGGTGGAAAGGCTGCAGTGGGGTTAAGGATAAGGCTCCTTGGGCCTACCTCTTCCCATGCCTTTACATTTACCTTTCCTTCCTCAGAAAAGCATGGACATACTTCTTGTATAAAACGTTCTGTCTGACTAGGAGTAACCTTAATTCCTCTGCTAGCAAGCATATGTGTTAAAAGATCAATACTGAGTCTTTTTTCTTTAGACTCAGTATGGCACATCTTCTTAATCTAAAGATCAATACAGAGTCTTCTTTCTTTGGACTCAGTATGGCACATCTTTTCAATCTAAGAATCAATACAAAGTCTTCTTTCTTTGGACTCAGTATGGCACATCTTCTCAATCTAAGTTCTGTACTATCCACCTTCTTACCCTACTTATCCTCTATAGGGGGGTCTGAAGTACCCTGGTGGAGTCCTATCCGTCCCGAATGTGGGGGTTCTAAATGGGGGGGGGCTTACCTAGGGGAATCCTGTTACAGGGCTTCCCAAAGGTGTGGACGGAGTCGGCGAAGACTATCCACCCTCTTCCTATGGTGGAGTCCTATCCATCCCGAGTGCAGGGGGGCTTACCTAAGGGTCCCTGTTCGGGCGCCAGATGCCGGGGTCCAACCCCAGCAGGTCCAGGGGTCCCCAAAGGTGTGGATGGAGTCGGCGAAGAAGGAATGACACAGAGACAGCGTTCAGTTGATCAGCAGCCTAGCCAGGATCTCTAGCCAGGATCTCCAGCCAAGTTCTGGTCTGGATCTCCAGCGAAGTTCTGCTTAGGATCTCCAGCCAGGTTCTGTATCCATGTTGTCTTGCTAGGTTCTCCAGCCAGGTTCTCCAGGTTCTCCAGCCAGGTTCTGTAGCCAAGTTCCCTCGCTAGGTTCTCCAGCCAGGTTCTGTCCAGGTTCTCCAGCCAGGTTCAGTTACCAGGTTCTAGTCAGGTTCTCTTGCTAATTTCTGTAGTCAGGTTCAGTCCAGGATCTTTTGCCATGTTCTCTCGCTAGGTTCTGTCTCTAGGTTCTGAGGCCAGTTTCTGTCCAGGAACTTTTGCCATGTTCTCTCCAGCGAAGTTCTTCTGTCTCTAGAGAACATTCTGTGTAGGGT